TCAGAGAAGGAAAAGCAATCTTCAAGGTAATGATCACAAGTTTTATACTTTTGCCATGGATATGCTATCCAATAGCTTATTGAGAGAGAGAGAGGGAGAGAGATAGGTAAATGTGAGTATGTGAGTGATGGTCTGTCGGTCTTTTTATTTAGCCTCAAATAGTTCTTCTTTGTGTTGTGCCATTCTTTGGAAAGAAAAACCTTATTAAGGTCATTAGATGTTCTAGATTACATTAGAAAGATAGGTTAGTACCAAAATGTCAAAATACAAACTTTTGATAGAGTGCAGAAATCTTTCATCGTCATATCCATGTTTAATACAAGTGTCTCTTTCAATTAGCTATTTTATAGGGTAATTGTTTAAAATTATGATTTGCCTAGGATTGTTTGATGATGCTATACTCCAATGTAGTTTGATGCATTGGACTCTTACTATAGTTTGGAAATAAATAATCAATAGACGCATTTAAATTTGATTCAAACGTCACACACAAAATGGTGGACATTTAGGAAACAGCACGACAATATACTTTCAGTGGTCTACACTGCCAAACAAAAAAATAAAAATGAGAAATCATAATAAACCTTTAATTTTATGTCTGGATCACTAATGTTTACAATTACTCTTCTGTACTTTTTACTGCAGCAAAATCTGGCTCATGACACTGTAATACAGTCAACAGATAAGAGCTGGCATATCCCCTATGATGACGGTCAACCACGCTTCTCATATGAGGTTCCCCTGACATGGCTGTGTGCTGTTAAAGACTAGTTTATTCACAACTCTAACCATACAATGGCTATGCATTTTTGTTTTGCATTGCTCTAAGAAATTTGATTCATCTTCAAAAGTCAAGGTGATCTATTGGGAAATCCATGCTTACCTAGGAAATGGGATTTCTTTTTTAAAGAGACAACAAAACTTTCTAATTGATACTTCTTTATTTAGGCACTCTAACAGGAACATGTATTCATAAGAGCATGCCAACTATAGTCAAGCTTAACCTACCCAGAGTTTAATAATCAACTGATTGATGAAATGCCCATTGTACCCCCGTTTGTTCCCATAAATTACCATAATTATAAAGTTATAAACACAGACCATGTCATTATTTTAATTTCATGACTTTCAGCAGGATATTCCATGGCATTGATGCTCCATACTCCATGAAAATATCAGTGGACCTGGTACAGCCAAGGCTAACTCAAGTTGCATTTGTATGCCCCAAAGCTAGTGCAACTTATGATAATACTGGCTGTCCTTATTTCTGATATTAAACTGCCCCTGTATTCTGATTTCTGAATTCTCCGGGCCTACATGTCAAACATATTTAATTGATAACAAGTTAGGAAACTTGGTATAAGCTAGTGAAACCATTGCATGCATTTGATTGCTTGGCTTTCAGCAGATTATGAAAAAGACATTTAAGTAAATTTTATAAAGTTTATATTTTTCAAATTTGTGTAGTTATTTGTTTCTAATTGACTTACTATAACTTGTATGATGTTACATTAAAGATACAATGACCACAAAGCTCTATTTGAGTATCACATTTACTTTTGTTGTTTTATATTGTTTATCTTTGGGAAGGTGAGACATACAGAGATGGAGAGGGGGCAGAAGCTGAAAGAGAGACAGAGAAAGAGAAGAGGGAGGGAAAAGATGGTGTGGGAGAGAAGAGTGTACATGTAGAGGGAGAGGGGGGGGGGGGGTTGTAGTATGAACATAATGATGAGTTATGAAAGAGTTACTAAATGCTACAACAACCAGTTGAATGTGTTGGTGAGAGTGTTGTACAAGTCTTTTTGAGGGGCTGATCCCCCTTCATGACAGCTTTACCAGAGCTTTGCAAAAAAAAATGTTTTCACTTGTAGCATTGCTTTTAAAATATTTTCAGTCATGATAAATGAATCGAATGGCGCTGAAAGGGGGATTCAAATGTCTGCCAAGACAGGTAGTCAGTATCTAAAAGTCTGCAAAAAAAGTTGAATTACAGATGCATACATATTCTTAATCTTGTACATGAATTGCACTTCTCTTATTCATCTCTCACATTTCTCTTTATTATTTCTGAAGAGTGAAATCGATGGTCTCTTTCATATAGAAGAAAGAGAGGAATGTTGTCTGTGATGAGAAAGGCCTGTGCTCATGTTTAAGATCCCCAATCTTCAGAGAAAGCAAGGGAGAGAGAGAGAGAAAGAGAGAGAGAGAGAGAGAGAGAGAGAGAGAGAAAGAGAGAGAAAGAGTATAATATTTAAACACAAACTTACAGACAAACTTACAAGTACAAACATGTATTAACATTCAATAGTATCCAAGCACCAGAATATCTTTAATTCCATTGTAAATGTATTTATTATTCTCCAAGAAAAATCACCTTTTACTACTTTATCTGAAAAATACATTTCTGTGAGCTATAACTGTATTATGTATAATGTATCATCATATTCCCAGCTTTGCACTGCAATAGCAGCACGTATCTACATGAAGAACAAGATGCTGGTACAATCATAATACTGAACGTGAAATTCTCAAAGTCAAAATAATACAATAGAAATAGAAGCCCAAAACTACTGTTTCTGATGTAACCTACACAAATGACAAGTTGCATTGACTACGGTAGTAATGTGATGTGTCTCCCCCCCCCCCCCCCCCCCCCCACAAGAAAAAGAAATCCAAGAATCACACTAAATTTACTGTGGCAATAGCTGAACAAAATAGATTGGTAAAAGTTTAACCAAAATCAGATAGAAAAAAATGAATGTTTAATATTTTAGGGTGAACAAGAATAAAAAATAGAGAAATTGGTCATACCATTCTAGGTAAACTTTCCTTTTCATTTTTACAGTAACGTATCAAACATTCTCTGTAGTCTAGTACTGTAGTCCGAGTAGCTTTTTCACTTGGAGCTTTACTCCAGATATATTACCTGTATCATGTTGTTATTATAATATATAAACAAAGTCTCCTTTATATTGAGAAAAGTGTAACTTAATTCATTTTTGAATGACTGTCATTATTAAACTACCAATTTGAGATTTCCATCTTTCAGTGATCTCAACTTCAAAAATTCTTAATTTTCTAATTGTACTCTGGATTTTGTTCAAACATTCACCAATCTATTTCTCTGATTCCTTCTTTCATTTGAAGCACACATAATTCAATAGGCAGTGAAACACCGACTAAAGTAGTCACTTTAAACCTTCACATATAAGAATCTCATTTTCTTTATAGTAACAAATCTGTGAAAATACGGTAGAGAAAAATAAAATAGAAATGTAGTATTTTAGCTCACTACAGCAAGTCAAAATATTCAGCACAAATTATGAGAGGCATAATAAGGCAATATGTGCAATGTGTCCCATACAACATATGACATTTATTCATACATTTCACCCATGAACGAAAAATGTATTGATACACCTACGACTCGTGGTAGTGATACCATAAAGCAGTGCAAAGCCCCATTATGCAATGGTCTATCAAGATATTCTTCATTTTTGGATGAACTATTTGGGAAAATGAAATTGTTGTACAAGGCACATTGTATGGCATTGCCCAATAATAATAGTCTTGCAGTTTCATGCAAGTGCATCAATTTAATACAATCTGATGCAAACAATTCAGTTCATTTAACCTATCACCAAAGATTTATACACCCTTATTGGTAATTTATCTTAAGCACACTTAAAAACCTATGAATAAATTAATCAAAGCTAATCAAGTAAAATAGCAACTTATTATTAAAAATTGCCAAAGAAAACTCAATCAGTATACACACCACACACAGACAAATATAAATATCTGAAGAATCCACAAATATCCTGATTGTTGAAGAGTAACTATTTGGTGAGTCTTCTTCAAATTCAAGCTTGCGATATTTAGTTCCAATTCATTTAGATATAGCCTCTTGAAGCATTTCAAATTGAGCAGCACTCTGTCACAATTCACAATTATATCTAAGAACTAATATACACATAAATAATATCTTAAAGAGCTTTCTTACAAGCATATATACTTTGCTCAATCCTTAAGCACACAGATAAAATAACTTTTTAAAGAATGTTAACTAAATTACAGTATTCAATTGTGAAAAACTAGTCTTGTTAAAGAGTAAAGCAAATCAGAAACTACAAATAATCAAAATTAATATCACTGCTGAGAGTAATCAACCTGATTTCAACGCCCATTACTGTTCAGACTGAGAACAGTTATGTAGATTCAGAATTAACTGAGAACTACTGCTGTTACCAAAAATATACCGGTAGTCCGGTACATAAACAAAATGTTTGTACCATCATCAAATTAATATTGATGCACATAATGGCTATTAAAATAACAAAAAACATATCTGACTAACCTAACTTTCCAGGACTAGGGTTAGGACTTAGGAGTAAAGACACCAGAGCATACCTGCCCCCCCCCCCCCCCCCCCCAGTTAAGAAGGTCCCAGAGAAGCCAAATAAAATGGTTGAATGTAAAAAGGCCAGTATTTTTAGGTGCAACTACATTTTACTCAGCCAGTACTCAACTTGGAATAAAATCAACAGAAATTGCACTTTATGGAGAAATCAAATGTAGTGGATGTTGTGGTATCCAACCAGCTTAAGCCAACTCTTCTCATTCAAATACATATGAACCTTTCATAGAAACAAATAAGAATCTCTCGAGGCAAAATTAGGAATGCAATTTGGAGCGCATAGAGGATTGTCTTCAATGATTATTATGCGCTATACAAATCACAATTATTATTAATCTACTTTAGATGCTTTTACACAGAAGTTTTCAGTAAAAGAGAGAATTATAGAATTCCTTCAAAATATGAATGGTTGGCAGCAAAGCAGATACCATACGTATATACTTGTACAGTGTACAGCAGGAAATATACATATTATATTCACAAAGTAATTTTTTTTTTTAAATGTTATCATCTAGCGATATATTGCCAAACTTTGGTACCTCCATTACATTAGATCTCTAGCTGAAAATAATTTTTTTTCTTTTGTACAATTCAGGTTCATTCTTATTAGCTTGAAATGTGCATACACTTCAACATTCACAGTTATAACATTAAGCAGAAAGACAATTTTTGAATGTCAAGACTTTCAATTTGAAACACTCATAACGTCCAAATATACAATTAGTTATTTACAAAGGTCATTGGAGCCATGTCTAGATGATCACTTTAGCTTTGAAAAAAACTAACCTTCAGAGTAAGCTTGCAAATATTCAACTGAGTAAATGGAGAAGAAAGCACTGATGAACCAAACAAAATTATAAAGTTATGCTAGCATGTACTTGAAAGTTGCTGAACTGGTTACTAATAAATAATATTCAGAGGCTTACTTTGATAGTAATGGTTCCAATCATGATACCTTAAAAGTAAATATTTCTGAGTACACATGTATAGAAATTTACTACCATGTGCATCAACATTGTACAGGTGTATTACTCACATGTTTACTCTAGAGTGTCAGTTTCTCTCAAGAGGAGAGCTATCATCTGAACATGGCACAAGGTTAGCACTACATCACAGCACAACTTACAAATCACGAGTACGGCTGCCTAGTCATGTCTTATTTGGACCAATGGATGATTCTTGAGCAGGTGCAGGTTTGGCCTTTTGCCCTGACTTACGCTGTCTTGCATACACCCTGAGGAAGAGAGCCACGAATACCACTAGAATGCCCATGATGCCCTGGATATTGAGGGGATGGCCGTAGATGATGCAGGATAGGAGGATAGCCAGGGCCTGACGTGGTCATGATGATGGTGAAGGTGACCGCACCAAACTGGGAGATGGTATAGAAAATGAAGAGCTGTCCTGTGGCTGAAAACAGCGACAGTAGTCCCACATGAAACATGAAGGTGTTGTATTTGAGCATGAAGCCGATTCCCTCGAAAAACCCACCTTGTTCTATAAGAGACCAACTTGTGAAAAGGCAGGAGAAGAGGTTGACACCAAACATCATCTGAATACTGGACATTTTGTAAGTCTTATACAGGTCTGCTTGCCAGTTAGAGGTGAAACTATCAAAGGCCATATAACCAACCAGGATCATGACCCCTGATATTGTTGTCACGGTTGACCCCTTGTGATCTCCTCCCTGTGACAACAAGAACAGTGCCACACCGACAGAGATCATCACAGCAGTGATGTACTCATAGTACTCATATGTTTTCCCTGATATAACTTTGCCCATGAGCATGACAGGAATGATCTTGGAAGCTTTGGCCAGGACTTGAGTGGGGAAGGTCACAAACTTGAGAGCCTCGTACTGACACCAGCTACTCATGATATTGGACAAGGAGCAGTAGGAATACTTGTACAGAGGTGCAGTATGGCGTGGTTGAGCAGTAAAGTTCATGACACACAGAGCAGCTATGAAAGCAAGAACACGGTTCATGAAAACCAAAAATTGGGAGTTGCTGAATTTCTCTCCAGGATTTTTTGCATCTTTGCCATACTCATGTGCCATGATACGTTCTTGAAGGACTCCCCAAGCTAGGTAGGACCCTTGCAAGCCAGCCACACAAAACAGCAACACCAAGCCACGGTTCATCTGAAAGTAAAATTAAATGTACAAATATTTTAAAGTACTAAACATCATTATCCAAATAAAAAAGAAAAATTTAATTTTCATACAGAAGGGCAATATATGAAAGAAGCACTCTTGCTTTTAATATACTGATTAAGCTCCTACTCATTAATTAATTAATTAAAATAACAATTTAAAAAAATACAAAAAAACATGTAATGATCCATATACATGTATCACCTAATCACCTATATTAGTCAATATAACTTGATTCTAAAGTTGGCAATCCCTTACCAATTTAAAGTAGTATTGATATTTGTGTATATGTCATGGTTTTCAGCATAGCTACATTTCAAAAGCCTGAAATTTTGCTGTCGCCTTCACACAAAAATCAACACCTACTAATGACGTATCAAACAGGAAAAAAAACTTGCATAATGACTACAATGTGATTACGGTAATCTGAATATATTAATGAACTGAAATGGAAACTTAAAGTACTAAATAAATGAAATCATACAAAAGCACAATAGATTAGTTGTGTTGTAATTACCTTTGGTGTTTCTGTCACCACACCTTTGCTACCTCCTTCCTCAAGGCTTGACTTGATTTCATCCAACCCAGCTACACATGATTTGACAGTCTGATACCAACAGCCATGACCTGTACAAACGTATTTGAGATAATCATAATAAAGGTTGAAAAAGTGGCACAATTGAATGGAGTAATGGACAATGTGCATAAAGGAAAAAGGGACTCGTCAACAGGCCCATGGCAATACTTCTTCCCCATTAATTCTACAAAATTATAGAGAACTTAAAATAAAATTTACCAACAATTAAAAAAATATTGATTATTTGAAGATTACACGAGACATGATTTAAAGGCTAAGTCCAGTCCGAAAATAATTAACCTTTAATTCATGTAGAAAAACTAGAGAAATGGAGCAAAACAAATTGAGTAAAATCGGATAACTAATAAGGAAGTTATGATTTTTTTTTAAGTATGAAAAACTACGGAACTTAGAAAATCGCTACACAAATTGTGAATTTGGTTATCAGTTTGTGACGTCATTCAAAATTCATAATTATTGATTCTTATATAAATATTTTATCAAAATTCACATTTGTCATGATTTGAATGAAATAAATTACTCTATATTAGTGCGTCCACACAAAAACATATTACTATCAATATAACTTGGATGCTGGTGTGAGGAAATAAGATTTTAGAAAGAAAATTGGTAATTTGTATTATCAATATAAAGAAAACAATTAGTGGATAGTGAGGAAATGACGTCATAGACTCATGAGTGAGTTGCCAATTTGTCTTGTGATTTTCAAAGTTTTTCATGTCATCAAAAATTCATAACTTTCTTATTAGTTATCAAATTTTGCTCAAACATTTTTTGATTGGTTTGTCTGACTTTCTGCTTCTATTGGAAGTACCGGTAAGTTTTTTTTTGCCCTTTAAGTATATCAATTCATGCAAAAGTAGGATGCATGAACTGGGATATAATTCAGTTATCATAAAGTTTATATAAAGTGCTGGCAGTGCCAGCAATAGCATTTTCAATGTAATTAAGACCCAAATCTATTCCCTGTACCTGAGAAGTTCTCACCACCTCCTCTCTCTCATAGTGCTGGTACTATAAATTTGTATATGTACCAGTACTTAAACCCAACTCTATTCCCTGTACCTGTGAATTCCTCACCACTTCTCTCTCTAGTGCTGGTGCAATACATTGTATATGTGCTTAACCCAACTTTATTCCCTGTACCTTCGGGATCCTCACCTCCCTTCTCTAGGTATCCAGAGCGTCTGATGTAGCTAATCACCAACCATGCAGGAACAATCACTGACAGGTAACCAAGGACATTCAGCCCCAAGCGGATAAACCAGTAGTCCATCCAGCCATCTGAAGAATCCTTGTCGGCTTCTTCAGCATTTGCTACATGAGCGTTGGCCAGGCATAGGACAATGCTAATTATGAGGGTGGCAGTGCCACGACTTGGCTTGTTTGTGGGTTGTCTGAAAACAGTCATCTTCCCTCAATTTTCTGTGGACAAATGAGATAGATATTATAATAAGTCAAAATTTCATTTGCCTGAATTAAAACTGATACACCTTACGAGAGGTTACTACTTTTTCTTAATGATTATGGTTGAACATAGTGTAATGAATGTTTCATCAGACCTGACTTTTGTGAGTGTGCATTATGGTTTAACTTTTCGGTAGCAAATTCTTTTGAATCTTTGTGTAAACTCCATCTACACAAATTTGGTCGTAAAAAACATACCTTACCATGTCCCAGGTACATGCAAAAACCACTGAACTGAAAAACAAATCTAGAACACTGATACCCCCTCAGTGCCCTCACAATGCACAATAAAACGATTAAACAGATATCAAAATATGTGAATCACGATAGCAATAACAACATGAAACCGAGAATTGCAGGAATCAAGTGGTGTGAAACAAAATGGATTTTGAAATAGATTAAATTCACCCTTAGAGAAAGAAAAACTAAGGAGAGGAAAAAAAGGGAGAGACAGAGAAGAAGACAAAAAAAGGAAAATAAGAATTTGAAAAAAAGAGTGGAGAGAGAAGTAGGAGAAATAGGGAAATAGCAGAGCTAGGGATAAGGAAATTGACATGTTGAGAGAGGAAAGAGAGAGAGTGAGAAAAAAAACCTTCCATACTACAGCAGTACTGTCCCAACCCCTCCCACTTTAAAAAAATTCTCCATAGCCCCTTATTCAGGTCTATTCCAATGTACAGTGTTGCTTGTACAAATATATGGAACACTACCATGTTTTCCTCCAGAAGGATAGTGGATACCTTAAACTTTAGAGCACAAGCTCCCCATTCCAAATAAACAAACACACGCATGTCGTTCTTCAACGCACAATAAAGTATGACATTTATTCGGTGTATACAGTATGAGTATTTACTACCAGGGGGGTGTTTCACAAAGATTCTAAGTCGAACTTAACTCTAAGTTGGACTTAAATATTATGGAGAGCCATTTGTAGCCTTATTATGAAATATATTCAAAAGCAAAAATTCAAGTATTTTAGACTTTTCATCAATTCCACATCAAGAACATGAAATCTCCTATGATACATGTAATAGAAAATATGAATGATTTGAATCAACATTTATGCCTTTTAAAATAACTTCTACAAAATATTTTCAAGGATGCTAATGGCTTTCCATAATTGTTAAGTCCAACTTAGAGACAAGTTCAACTTAGGATCTTTGTGAAACACCCCCCCAGGAGTCATAGATTATTATTACCTGTTACACAAGTCCCATAACCAGAAAAACGGTTCACACATACAGCAAACTCATTACAAACTTACAAACACATTATTACATAAATCTGTCAGAATAATATTTCCAGTCAGGTTCACAAATCTATTTTCTTTGTATTCTGTGGGTATGAGATGATGATTGACAAAAACTTTCTTGATACAACCAAGCAAATTTTGCATACCTTATTGATATCATTTAAGGAGTCAAATAAATATATGGCATACAGCTTTGTTAATAGTAACAAAACTTAAAGAATTCCAACATGTCATTATTGAAAAGAAAGGCTCGCGTTAAAACCAAAAGAGGACCGCCCAAGATGGCGGATATCACGTAGTCAAGTACGAGCACTAGCTATATTTTAGAACCTGTACAAGCCTTCTACATATTTCCATCTTCTTCCTCCTCCTCCTCTTCCTCCTCCTCCTCCTCCTTTCCTTCTTCTTCTTCCTCCTCCTCTTCTTCATTTTCATCTCTTTTCTCTTCTTCCTCCTTGGCTTCACTGCAAAGTCTTTCTCTAGTCTTGCAGAAAAATAGAGACTACTAGTATTCTGCTCTACCAGGTTATCCCAATAAATCACATACATACACATGGTCCAATATATTTGATTAAAGCCTGAAAAGAAATACAATTTAAAACATTATTTTTGTATAGATCTAGGTCTGGGCCTACAGCATCAATGTAAACTTGTGGGACTGTTGCAAATATTTAGCAAATCCCATGTCAAGCTAAATCCTGAATCTGAGAAGATTTGGTACTTAAAAAGAAAATAAGGTCCTCATGAACAGAAATTGTGATACTAATATAAATAAAAATATATATTTGAGCTCGCTTTTACCTAATTCTTCGGGTAAAAAGAAGAACTTCTAGAAGTGGAGAGCCAGTTTCGACACGTCAAACAGCAAAATTATCGATATCGCTTGTAGTATCGTCGTATATCGTTCCCGACTTTGTTACAAAATAATCATGAATCGCCTTGCAAAAGTCATTCTGTCAGCATCCAGGAAAGGTAATTTGAGTAAGTATATAATTCACCATTATTCGGAAGGTAGACACGTTGAACCAAGGCCTTTAATAAGTTGTTAGCAGTGATACTGCGTGCATCTCGGCCTCATTCCTCTCTCAGATGAATATACCAAGCGAATAACGGTGTCCCACCATTGTCGCATGCCTAGAGTTTCGGGGTGACGTACATGCACTGAGAGCCCCGTGTTATGTCGCTTTCGTGATCGTGTTGCGTGTAAATCAAATGCCTGAGAGTGTTGCGGGATGGGGGGGGGGGGGGGGGGGGGGGGGGGTCCACTTCCCCACAGAGTTTACACGCTCACACAAGTGTACAACTAGTGGCTTATTTCACGAGAGGAGAAGCAGATTAAATTATTAGTAGCCCTAGACTAGAAATGACATGATGAAGCCAGGTAGAATTGTTAATTTGTAAATGATGTTGTTGTTGTTGTTTTTTTGTGTTTTTTTTGGGGGGGGGGGGGTGAGGGGCAAGAACTGATACAAAAAAAAGAGATCAACCTTGGCCTTGGGAGGGGGGATTTCTGGCATATTTTATGACATAAAAGTCATAATGGTATCCGAGACATGGTGATGGATCCAGGGGCCCGTTTCTCGAAATCAACGACGAGACAGTCAAAACTTTAACCGCCAACTACGGAGATGTCTCTGATCTTCCTTAAACATTTTATGAAGAGTTTACTACTTCTTCTATAGTACTAGCTAGACTGTCTAGACCTTGTGGTATCGATAATTTGGTGAGAGGCGCCAAGACATTGCCGTAGTCGCAATTCCATGTGGTTAAAATTTTGTTAAAGGAAAACTGCAATTATTTAAATGAATTAGGAATATTTTAAAAAATGAAAATAGAACCAGGGAATAAGAGATGCAAAATAATTGGCATATTTTCATGAAATTTTGAAATATAAAAAAGGATAACTCCCTGTTAAGTGAATGTGATGGTGTAGAAAGATAGCTGGAGGACATGAAAAAAGGAAGGCAACTTATGCCATGTGTGTCTCGTAAGAGAGTATCAATTGACTTCTCTGGGCTATTCAGTAGTTGTTAATTCTTCGGAAGTGCTTACAAGTTGCATGTGACGAAAGGAATTTATCCTAAACTGAATTTCATTATGAAATTGTGTTTTCTTACAGAATGACTTGATTTCTTTTTTTCACCCCTTTCATAGTTTCATTACATATTGTTCTGATTGATTCTGTTGATGATTTTCCTTAGTAAAGAAATGCAGATAAAACATTTTAACAAGATCATGTAATTTTGTGACATTAGAATGAAGCCTCAATACTTTGGGTAAAATAATACAATTGCTTGAATACTTGTGATTTATACACTGATTATTTGATGACATGCATCATGTTCATTAATTTAAAGGTTATCCTAGATAAGTTTGTTAACAAATTAACAAAAATAGAATAGTGAGCCTCACTATGAATATGACTGACAAAGAAAGCGGACAAAATATACAGTTCCTCAGGTAGACAAAGGAACATCCCTTCACTGCTATTATGTAAAAATGTGTAGAACAGGTGTCACTTGAGAATTAACCTTTTTACATAATAGCAGTGAAGGGATGTTCTTTTGTCTACCCGAGGAACTGCATATTTTGTCCGCTTACTTTGTCAGTCATATTCATAGTGCCTATAAGAGACCAATTCATAAACAATCGGTAATTCACAAAATGTTTTTTGTCCTCATATTTTTTTTTTTTACCAGTAGTTTTATTCACCCCATTTTTTGATATTATCAATTATCAGTGTACTCTAGTCTTAGCCATGAGGTTGAAATTCAAGGCTACTTATCGTTAAATACATTTCATAATAAAAACGGTAATGCAAATGTGATCTGATTAGGCCATATAGGACCATTGTATAATTATTAGAAGGGGATGATTAGGGGGGGTGTAGGTGATAGAGAATTATATTGATTTAGATTTTTGAAATGTATTTTGTAAAGTTATATGATTACTGTCATAGGACAAGGATTCATGTATTCTGTTCAATTCTATTAAGGCATGTACACTCTGTAATATTATCAATGCAATGTTGGTTACAATGTCTTATTGGCTGCTTTATTTCGGAAGTGTGTCAGTCTGAAATTAAAGTTCTTCTTTTTCCATGTTATAACAGCCAACATAGGCCTTGCAAGTACTCTGGCTAGGAGCATGTCTTCAGGAGGGCTTTCAAAATATAATTTTGAGTCACTCGCTGTGACAAGTCCCCAGGAGTTTATCTACAAGGTTGAGGTGAACAGGCCAGAGAAACGTAATGCTATGAACAAAACATTTTGGAGGTAAGCATTATTTCATATTGATTTGATTTTTTGCCTTTGAATTAGCGCTATTGTTTATTTATCCATTTCATTTATACTTCCAGTATCAGCAGTATGAAGTGCCTCTGCATGCAATTGAACTCAACATTGGAACTGTATTCAGTGTACGTCTCTGTCCCCCAAAATAAAAATAGAAAACATGGTTTATTTCTAATTCGATACCAGTGATTTACAGATGTTGCTGAAATGACATGATTTTCCGGGGAAGGGGGGGGGGGGGGTGGGGTGGGGGTTCCACTTTTTTTCTCTTCTCTGCCCCCCCCCCCAGTTTTTGCTCCTCACGCCACTGCTGTCTGTTGGTGAGATCAATTTAAAGAAAGTAAAATTAAAAAACATGACCAAAAAATGCAGAGGGTTCATAAATGACATTAGAAAAATTAGGATATATTGTATTGTACAGTATTTATGTATTGTAATGTATTTATATTAATGTATCCATGATAAAACTCACATTCACCCAAAACGGACTACTTTTCAGCAAGTCCATGCTTAGTCAACAACAGTTTTAATTAAACATGTTATTAATTCAGATTTATTATTCCTGTATTAAATGAATTATGAATCATAATTATAAGTATAATTTTCCAACATAATTAATAACAATCATCAATGAAACCACAATTTCACAAGAAGAACAATTTTTTATTTTTTATTCTTTTAGAGAGATGGTAGAATGTTTTAATACCATTGCAACTGACGAAGACTGCAGAGTAGTACTATTAACTGGGGCAGGCAAGACATTTTCTGCTGGTAAGTTGGAAACATGAACCACATCCACTGCTGTCTCACAATCTTAATGTAATTGCTCTTACCCCTTTTTATATTCTATGTGTTATTCTTCGTTTCTTCTTCTTTCTCTGACATTCTCTTACCAATTGAATATATGGCTGTGTATATTATTTTCTGCTGTCTTTTTCTTCTGATTCACTTAAGTAATCAGTATTTCATTCTATTTTATTGATATGAGATAGTATTTGTGTTATTTGTACATATGTGAAGATGAATAAACTTTCATTTGATCTATTGGTCTTTGGTAAATTAATATATTTATTATAGTGGCATGGAATGCAATTTTGCTCCTACAGTATAAATATTAATTAAGTTTATACTTGCATTGCTTTGTGTAAATGCATCTATGTGTCTTATTTTAAGTACCTGAAATGAACAGTGTTTTCATTTGTTTCAATACTAGCTTTAATCATTCATGTGACTCAGCCAACTGAAAGCATTGTTCAGTTTTTATTAGATTACTTGGTTTTATGATATTTTTCTTGGTTTATTTGTGAATAGTAAAGTCAATGGTCTGATCTTACTTTGTGTGTACTCTTCTATGAACATAATATTGATTATGATGCCATATTTAACTATATTTTTTCTTGGCAGGTATTGATCTACAGGATAATGCTGAATTGATGCAGGGCGCTATTCCGGGATCAACTGATCTTGATGTATCACGTATCGCCTATAAACTCAGATCCAAGATCAAGGAGTATCAAGAGTCTTTCTTTGTTATTGAGAAGGTCAGTTTAGCTTGTCATAAAATAAAATAGAATTTGAAAAACTTATGAAAAAACTGTCAAATGGCTCCTGCGCAGTTAAAGGTCTAAGAGATCAAATGTCCATTAGACAGAAGCTTTTGGCCCATGAAAATATGGTTTAATGATTAACCCTTCAAAAAGTTGTTACAAAGATATAAGACCATATCTTCATTCATTTGAGTCTTCTGTCTTTTGAATATTTATTAAAGCTTGTGCTTGTGTTCTAAACAACTAGCATTATTCTTTGAAATGTAGTGAACTGAGCATTTAAACAGTGTTTACACATGTAGTGCATCAGATGGTTCGTAGTTCAAGTCCCACTGTGGACATAATGTCCCTTGGCAAGACATAAACCTGCATTTTCCACTCCCCACCCAGGTGATGTAAATGGAAACCTGGTAGGAAGAATTTCCTTGAATGCAGCGCCTAATCAGGGCTGTTAGGCTAATGTAGGACTACTAATAGTACAGCGATTAGATACATTAGTATTCGGTGCTATTATAATGTTACTATCATTATTATCAAGATACTTTTGTGTATAGTATGATTTTCTCTGCTATACTGTATGAGAATGCTGTGATTCTTGTAACCAGGCAGCAAGACCTAAGAATCTATTGATAATAATCTTTGATAGATGTTGTGTTTACATTTAGTCTCATTTGAAAAAAAAAGAGTTGCTTCTTTATGTTATGAAATAATAATTGGTCAGTATTTGTCATTGTTCTGATAGTGTCCTAAGCCAGTGATAGCAGCCGTCCAGGGGGCCTGTTTAGGAGGAGGACTCTGTATGATCTCTGGATGTGATATTAGGTTGTGTACTGAAGATGCTTGGTTCCAAATTAAGGTAAGTAAGCTCCATTTATCATCCCATCTCCAAAATGATATTAGTTCAGAGTGATGTGAGGCTTAGTTAATTATTTGCTGCTCCAGTAATGCAAACAAAACCAAAGTCCACTCTCACTGTCCTGAAGTGGTCATATTTGATTTGTTCAAGCTATTTTTGTTTGCATTATCATGCTGCAAAGTGAACTTGTTTGTCCAGTATTGTTAACACTTTATTATACAGCACTGTGAGAGTAAAAAATAATCTGGGTTGATTTGCATGTGTAGCTTATGGAAGATTTTCATTCCAAATGTACCATGTATTCTCAATAGTTAATTTTTCAATCATGCAAGCTTTATAAAGCAGCTCCAGTAGGAGACATACAGTAAAAGGTGTAATGTGTTTGTTAGACCAGCGTAAGGTCCTCACTAGTTTGAAATGTTCTTTAACAAATAGAATTAAATAACTACATGTCCAGAGATGCCAACCAGTACGATAACAAGAGTGGAATATGTTTTGTAATACCCATAAAAACAACAGAATCACATGGAAACATGTACCAGTTAACCCCCGCAACCCCAATAAAAACTTTGCTTTACAATTTTCTTTTAAAATTGTAATGAAAGAGCAAACATTTTACTTGACCGTACGTACCAGTATCACATTTCTCTGAAATTTTACTGGCCCAGAGCCAACCGGCCATTGGTAGTGTCGAGTTTTCGTGAAAATCTGATTTTTCTCTCCAAAATCTGATTTTTTAGGATACTCAGTCTGTTTTTTTGTGTTAAGAGGTTGGCATCTCTGCATGTCAATAAGTTTCTCCCTTTATTATTTTGTCAGCTAGAAAATGTAATAGCATGAAATTGAAATTTAATATAGTATTATTTTTGTTAAAGGTTAAATTCAAAGAAAATCACAAATATGTCAACTAATGTATCACTAGAAACTGGTAAGCTAACAGATGGCCATCGTACACGTTTTAGGTGAACTACATATCAGGTGATTTATAAAAAAATATAAAAACAACCACCTCCATAGCAGCTGGGATACACGAGAGATTCGCCGGAAAAATAACAATGTTTTAATGACGTCACTATATGGACCAATACTAGCCAAGCAGACGGCATCCCATAAAGAATGAACATAATTGCAAAGCTATTGTTTGTCAAATTATAATGAGTTTAGTGTATATAAATGTAATGGCATGTCAAACCATTCAAAACGGGATATGACCCGATTCTGATAACTAAAATCTTTTGCTTGTAAATACACAGGATAGGGGTTAATTAACAATCAAAGAAACCAGACTTTCAAATTGAAAACCCCCCGGAATGATATTAAGGACGGCTTTTGTTCCCTCTTGAAACGCCAAACATACCGCGGTGTGTGCAGCTGAATATACAATGGTGTCTTATTTTGTTTACAAGCGACAGATTCCTTTATTTTTGTATCCCTGCATTTGTCATCAAAATAAAACCATGCGCGGGATTTAGAGTGAGGCAATAGATTGCACATTTAGCCCGACGGTAGTGAAGTAAGAGAAAGAACTCAAAAGAAGATGAAAACACAGGCACTGAAAATGTGTGAGATGTCATGGGGCATCGTCTGCTTGTGCAAATCATGTCCATACTGTGATCTCACACATCTCGGCAGCGTTCGGAGAGCTCTTCAGGTGCTATGCCGGGGCTGTATTTAAGCGTTATGTAATTTATAATAATCATTACTTCGAATGTTTCCAAGCATTGAATTTTGATAACCTTGTCGAATCAAAGAGTCAACTGTGCAATAATGAAAATAAAGTTACTTTTTGAAATCAATGAATATCTGCTTTAATGCTATAGGTATTATCAGGAAGAGGATACATCATTTTGCTCCTATTTCAATGATTTCAGTGGCAGCAAAAATTTTAATTCATATGAATGCCTGGTTATTTAATACCCTCATATACATGGAGGTAGGTTTGACCCTTGTCATAAGAAAGTAATTAATTTATTAAAATAACAAAAACAAACAACAACATAATTATTATTTATTGAATAACATTACTGTAGATTTAACATTTACTTTGTAAAAGTTGCAACCAAAATAATTCAAATTACGAAAAGTTCTGGTTGTGTGGTTTATACAGGAAACAGAACTTGGTCTAGCTGCAGATGTAGGAGTGCTTCAGTGGTTACCAAAGAAGACATCTAATGACAGTCTGCTTCGAGAGCTCTGTTTCACAGCAAGGAAGTTTGATTCAAGTGAAGCCAAGGAATTAGGTCTGATCAGGTGAGAGATGATCTCTTTATTCATATATTACCATCTTATCTTCATTTTTTTTTATCAGTTTCTCTGTATCAATTCATTATTTTATCCTTAAGACCCCTTTTATTCTCCCTTTTACTTATTTTTTTAACAATTATAGAAAGTTTATGGATTCATATAAGATAAAACTGAATAAAATTATCCATGTGCCATTTAAAGTTTGCCTTATAAAAATTTGTTTATTTTCCGATCAATTACGATAAATATGCATTTCCAGAAATTGATAAATTTTGAAGTCAAATATGTTTCAGTTAATACTCAAATGTGTAGTGATTAGGTGTAATTGCCCATTAATTTTCTTTTTCACCACCATCCATTGTTTTTCTTTAGATTCAAAATGATGCTTTGTACTCTAGAAGTTCCAATTATCAGTGTTTAAGAAATCATTTACAACCATGTTTGTAACTTCATTTTGCTGTAGAGATCTGTATTCATTTATTGTTCACAAATGTGTAATAAATTAATTATTCTATCCTTTTTTGTTTTAAATGTATCTTTGTCTAACTTGGCGTTGGGTAGTCGCCTGTACCCAGACCAAGAAGCCATGATGGGTGGTGCTATGGAGCTAGCAGCAACTATCGCCAGTAAGAGTCCAGTGGCTATGCAGGGCACTAAAGTTAATCTGAACTACAGCCGAGATCATACCGTAGCAGAAAGCTTCGAGTATATTGTAAGTCAAGAGTAGAATCCAGTAATCCACAGACATCACTTTCAGATTTCACACAAATCACTGTCATATTCCTTAAAGAGGACAGTCACCAAACAACCTAGACAAATATAATCATTACAGTTCATTGTAATTGTGTAAAGAATATCAGTTAGATTTATAAAATGTGAAATAATACTGTATATCAACATTTTAAATATGATTAATATTTCCTGATCATTGGATTAATTACTATTCTGCACATATAGTGCACCACTCCTCTGGGGAGCATTACAGCCAGTCGCCTTGTACAGATATGCACAAATCAAAATCACATCCTACTACTCGAAAATACCAGTTATACCCGGCTGGAGAGAAGTAATGCAGATGAAAATACTGTACCGGCCGTCGCCCTCGTTGAGGGCGTCGACCGCATCGTCCCTACCTTCCCTCACAGCGAGCCTGGTATATGTGGCCATATCTCGTGGAAGAGAGATAGAAGCGATGTATCTTATAAAATCCTAATTCGTTTCAGTCAAAATATATGACTATAGAAATACAGGTAAATGGAATAACTAAATTGACACTCAAAAAGAAGAACACATTTTGTTTGAGACAAGATTTTAGTTTGAACACAAAAACAAAAAAACTTCATTTAATCATTTCTTTCTTTACATCAATAATATTATCGCCACTGTTACAAATTTAATAAATCTCTATATAATATATATATATATACACACAAGTTAATACTTATGTTTATAAAATCTGTTTGTTATAACACTGTAAATTGGTAATGGACTTTAAATTAACTAACCTGTTTGTTTATAAAGGAGAGTTTAGGGAATTAGTAAATGTTATTTAAAGTTCAATGTGAAGTTTAAGTTTGGACCAATTTGTTGGGCGGCTCTTGCGAGTCGTCGTTGGACCAATTTGTTGCGCGACTCTTGCGAATCGCCCCGAATCCGAAAAATCTATCTTATATATACACTGTATGCGTACGTGGGGGAAATCTATGCGCGTGCTGTAAGCAACGCCGCGATCATGCACAGAGCTAGATGCGCGCGTACACATTGCAACTGGTCCTTATAAAGTTCAAAATCTTTATTAATTCAATATTAAATGCTTATTTATTCCAACCGTTACACTGCTTAAGTAATGGAAACATTACAATGCGTTTATTTGAAACTTTATACAAGGCATAAGATAAATATTTCAAGCTCTCCTTTGTAATAAGAGCAGAAATTTAACAAACAAATATTTCATAGCATGAATTTGGGATTCACTGTCATATTTACATAATGCGCGTAAACCGCACAACCTGAATTCCGATCCTAGTTAATAAACTAAAGAAGTACAAAATTCGAATTCTCTTACGTTTTTGACAAGAGATTGTTAAGACAATAATATGATATTAGGGATAATTTGCTTGTCTATCTGAATAAATATACAACTTAATCACATATTTCATAAATAATGAATTTTTAGGCATATTACTACGATTTATAGATTGGATCTAGTGAGTAGTGTGTCGGAAGCAACGTACGCGTATGCTTCCGGTTGTGTTTATACGTGAAGCAGTTCATACTAGACTTCTTAAAACTAGAAACTTTTGCTTGTAAGCAGGTATTTATACACAGAAACACACACAATCCAGACTATAACTCGCAGCGGTACTAGTTAATCAAGATAATGTTTACCTATAAATGAAGAATGTGAAGGAAGTGATGAGAAATAGGCTGGCTGAATGCAAGATCTCGGAGTGAGCGAGAGAGAGAGAGAGAGAGAGAGAGAGAGAGAGAGAGAGAGCATAGAGAGAGAGAGAGGGAGACAGAGGAGAAAAGACAGAAATAAGACAAGATTGAGAAAAGAAAGGATGGGATGATTCAAGCTGCATGTTTTCAGAAGTTTCAGATAAAAGATATGACAGCTAGCATGGAAGTCAGTTTACAAGTATAATATTGTGAGGGTGGATCGTTACAATACCTTGACTAAGGACACGAGTTGTGTGCCTTGCTTTAATAAAACCTACAGCCATCACATCTCCACTCAAGTATTTAAACCACTTGAAATGTCTTCTATACTATTTTGGAGTCTGAGAGAAAATAAAGAGAGATTGATGTGAGACGTGATGGAGGCATACTGTTCAGTTTGCATGTTGTAATGGTGCATTACCTGAAGTATGTGCAAATTGTATGCTCATTTATTATATCTGTAGAGAATGATACTCTTGTCTCTTAATACACAATAGAGGAGATTGAATTGATGTGTGCCATGCATAATTAATTCTTTGTCATTACAAACTTATGAACAAATATTACAGACCAAAGATAGTCATGAATATTGAAGAGTGTTGTCTAATCTTTGCATTCTTTGTTTTTTCCTGTAGGCAACGTGGAACGCAGCCCATCTACAGACTGAGGATCTTGCAAAAGCAGTCATGGCAAGCATGACAAAATCAAAGGCAGAGTTTTCAAAGCTGTGAGATGATCAATCAAATTGTAAACGTGAAAGAAGGAAAACCTATTATAGCAAATGCTTCAGCACCATGTGTACAACTCTGTTATATGAACTCTTATCATGGTAAACCAGGAATGTTATGTGAAAATTATTGGGGCAGCGTTGTGTGGTAAGAAAAATTTGTTATAACTATGGAAAAATATATAAATACTGGGTGATTTTGTTGAAATATATTCCAGTCTAAACATGCTTGGTTTTGGCCATGTTAAAAAAGACGTAGTGATCCCTGTCTTGAGGTAAGAGTAAAGTATTATATCATTTGAAATTTATCATAACAAATAGGCAGATGGAATTTTATGACTCATTCAAGAACTTAAGATTGATTTAGATCCATCACAACATTTTGTCATTCAGGGTCAAGGTATACTTTGAAAATACACTTTTTTAAGGAAACTCTGGTGAACTGGCATTGTTTTGTTAATTTTTATTTTGATGGATTATTTTACAATGGTTGTGATAGATCTTACATTCCCAGACTCCCTTGATCATAGGTGTAAATGTTCAGCAAAACTTTGCAAAGGAACATCTTTATTTACCATAACATTTATTATGTTTAAAATCATTTTAGGTCATATATTTCATGCTGCATTTCATTGTAAATAAAAGAAACATATTCAAATCAATTTAAAGGCCTACATGTAGCAGCTAAAGATTACTTCAATTAAAAAAAATATATAAAGTTTAAAATAATGGAAATTATATTTTCTTCTGACAAGTCTGATTGTTTGACACTTGCATTTAATGTTATTGTGTATTTCTAAGTGATTGTAGACAGATTGATCCGTAAGTCTTTTTTAAATACTTAAATAGCTATTGAAAGATTAACCTAATTGACCTAATTGACAGATTAGTTTGGTTGAATAGGTCAACTACTTGGAACTAGTAGGCCCTGGGTTCACATCCCATCCCGGTGGGCTACGGGAGCTTCTTTGGCATTATGGTAAAATGCCGGGATTAGTGATTATTCATCTTCGTGCCTAGGATTGGCCTTGTGTTAAAATAAGATTGATCTTTGCATTTATAGGTAGTAATCCAGAAGAAATGTACATAATTGGTTATCCACTAGATCTCTACTCAATTTGTTAATTTCTTTGATTTGACTGGATAAGAAGAAAGATAACCACATTTATAAAGGAAGTTATTTATATGGAAGAGGTGAAAGTACATTTAACAGGGTATTACAACTGGGCCCCTGCTTATAAAAGTTGCAGTTTATTACATTCAGTTGGTAATCACAAACTTACAATTGCCTGTCTCTTGATATACAGCATTGCGATTCATTTCTATATCAAGTTAATTTGCAGTCTCTTTGGATAAATTGCAACTCTTGATAAGACAGAGCACTGATGGTTGTCACATTATTTAGATTTTTTTTGTTTACACGAGAAAGGTGATCTCTATTGATCAAGAAAGCTTATGTTTCTTCATTATTGTGACACTTGCTGCACAATGCCTTTATTTTTATGCCTCCGTTACGAAGTAGCCGGAGGCATTATGTTTTCGGGTTGTCCGTCCGTCCGTACGTCCGTCCGTCCGTACGTACGTCCGTACATCCCGTTCTCGTGATCGCGTTATCTGAAGAACCGATTGATGGATTCCTGCCAAACTTTGGTCATGTATGTATCTTGCAAAGCCGATGAACTGATTAGATTTTGGGGTCACAAGGTCAAAGGTCAAAGGTCACAGGGCTCATTATGTATGCAAAAACAGCTCGTGATCGCGTTATCTGAAGAACCGATTGATGGATTCCTGCCAAACTTTAGTCATGTATTTATCTTGCAAAGCCGATGAACTGATTAGATTTTGGGGTCACGAGGTCAAAGGTCAAAGGTCACAGGGCTCATTATGTATGCATAAACGGCTCGTGATCGCGTTATCTGAAGATTAGATTGATGGATTCCTGCCAAACTTTGGTCATGTATTTATCTTGCAGAGCCAATGAACTGATTAGAGTTTGGGGTCACGAGGTCAAAGGTCAAAGGTCACAGGGCTCATTATATATGCAAAAACAGCTCGTGATCACGTTATCTCAAGAACAGATTGATGGATTCCTGCCAAACTTTGTTTATGTATGTTACTTGCAGAGCCGATGAACTGATTAGATTTTGGGGTCATGAGGTCAAAGGTCACGCGGCTCATTATGTATGCAAAAATGGCTTGTGATCGCATTATCATTAGAACAGATTGATGGATTCCTGCCAAACTTAGATCATGTATGTATCTTGCAGAGCCAATGAACTGAGTAGATTCTTGGGTCATGAGGTCAAAGGTCATGGCTCATTATGTATGCAAAAATAGCTTGTAATCACGATATTTTGAGAACCTGTTAATGGATTACAAATGAACTTGAATTTGAAAAATTTCTTCCGTTTTGGTTGGTAAAATTGCTCTATGACGGAGGCATCATTTTCGACTGCGCGCAGTCAAATTCCATCTAGTTTATTTGTATTTTGCCAATATGTGAAGAAAATTGAAATACTGTATATATAATTGTATACATGCATAAATGATGAATAAAATTTAGATAACCAAGTTTTCCATCTTGGTTGACTTTATTTCATATTTAAGCTGAAGTAATTTTACATTTTAAATTTGGCTTTACTGGGCATTAGGTGGTGTGAAGGCTGAATAACTAAATCATTTTGTGAATTTCATTGTGTGCCTTTTTAGAAAGATGCAATGAATTCAGACAAGGAATGTACAATGTGAAAGGAAAAAAAGGAATTCTGAAGTTATGACCATTCTTTGACTACATCTGTTATCACATCTCAGTCCACATATCATCCAAATTGTGAACATTGATGTCACTATTTCAGCAATCAAAGGTAAAAGATTTAGAAATGTATGTTTATACCCTTTAGCCAGGTACACAATCTTTATTACATTGTCACAATCATATTCCCACATTTTTTTACCTAATCTCCTTATCTTATTCCCTCTTTCTTCTCTCTGTCTCTGCCTCTCTCTTTCTCTCTCTGTCTATCTCTATCTATCTCTGTCTATCTCTCTCTCTCTCTCTCTCTCTCTCTGGCTCCCTGACCCTCTCTGTATCTGTCTCTTTCTCTCTGTCTCTATTATGTCTCTCTCGTAATCATGAAGTAGACTTGCAACAAAAATATTGCAATTTTCTTCATACACTTCAATATAATTTGCGAACAAATAATAAGTTCATAATGTTTACAAATATCTGTAAACTTGATTTGAATGATTTTTCTGAGTAACGTATTTAACACAATGGAAAACTCATGGGCTGAAGAAAAACGATATATATATATTTTTCTTTCTTGTGCATTTTATTTACAACTATTTACACTATACATAACATCTTACATCAAAAATACCACCATTGAATTTAATCAAAATGATTTAAATTATATTAGATATTGTAAAGCATAAAGTCCTTTTTAACTCCAAATTTTTCATCTAAAATTTAGCTTGACTCTTAGCTGGAAAGGCATTACAATTATTTTAGATCAGAAGCAATATTTTTTTAAAGTAATTCATCTATATATATTTGACAAGAATGTTACTTTCTTCAAGAAAACTATTGATATTGCTATTTGAATTCTTTTTAGAATTTCAAGATGGATAATTTTCAATACTGCCACTGAGGTACAAATACATTTGCCAGGCTTTGATATGAAATAATATGAATTTCAAAGGCTAGATATCAAACATAAATTCAGAAACCTATTTTATGGTTAAAATGGCATCATAGGGTGATTGCCTGTTCAAAGCCCAATACAGCTCTCAATGCCCAGCAATATAATTCTATATTACTGGTCTAAACGGCATTCAGATATGTTAAAGGTACTTAGTAACATTGTGATGGTTGATTTCACAAATCTGTTGAATCATGATGCAAAACACGTAAACTTATGTGTGTATGAATGGATTATCCAACTACGATGCCCCAAATCCAAAATTAATTCACGCAATATGAAGATTTTTAACAAAGTTCAACGGGTTTTCGAATTCTCCCAACCATTTTTGATTTTTCCCAACCATTTTTCCATGAAAAAAGACATAAAAACAGGCTATAAAAAATCTGCCAACACTTAAACGTCTGGAATGGAATGTAGAGCCATTTTATTGCTTTATTGATTTCCATTCACCTAAAATGTAATTAAATTGTAATAATATAGTTGGGAGAATTAAGGAATCGATCGGATCAGTTTTTCCCAATTTGTACCATGAATAATGGTCCGTTTTAGCTCAAATTTTCAGATTATCTTTAATTGTACATCTAGCATTAAGTCACTACCTTAGCACCACTGTCTCTCATCTGAACAATGTTACAAAGTCCCTTTAAGCGAATGCATCCTCATGTATTACATTCTGGAAATAACTTATTTCACTCCATATTTTCAATGATTGCCTAGGATAGGAAGAGGGTGGTATCACATTTCTGCATCTAGAGTCATCATTGAAGCATAATCTTTATATAAGACATGTCCCTTTTCTGGGTCCACGGCAGCTGACAGCATCTCCTCCAATTCTTCTTGTGTGAATGGCTCTCCTGTCATACGATAACAACAATAATCAATAGGTCATATCAAATGTATGCTAGTTCAAATACCAAAAACAAACGATTTGTAACCATTTCATTTCATACCTCCATGATTTTGTAAATATCCCTATGCCCTTCCAAATACAAAAGCGATGGAACAGAATTAAGAACTGAGGGCAGAGATATGTGTGCTTCGATCAGCATAACTAAAACATGTCATATTAGACTTCAGCTTGCACTATCAATATCATTGGAATGATAATAAATATTGGGTACAAACTGCAGATGTCTTGGGATTGGAAAACAATAGGTTTTCTGGCAGATTCGACAGAGCCATCAAATGCTGGAATTCTAGAATCATCTCACAAGGAGCTTAGATAATAGACTTAATTGCAATTAAATTCTCTCCTGTTTTTCACTAAGAATCAATTTTCAAATTTTGAATTGCTATTTGAACTCCGGTCCTATTGTCAATGTACTTACTGCTACATGTTGACTTATATGTAACAAACTACTTGTTTTACCATAGTATAAATACAGGGTACCATAACATTACAACCTTTTTTCATTTTTTAAAAGTTTTCTATAATATATGTTTAAATGGCTGTTGGCCTACAAACCACTTTGCACATGTCACAGTTATCGTACTTCAATCCACTTGAACACTATCGTATTACTTGATCAACTGTATTATAGTAAAATTGTGTATACCAGTATGTTGTTTTTACTTTTCATAAATTGTGAATTTAAATCATTTCACATAATTCAATGAATAAGTGAATATATTAATATACAAATAATAATTACATGTATTATGAAATGGAAAACGATGATTACCTTCTTCAGACATGAGTTTTGTCATCTCTTCAACTG